CTCAGCAAAGATTAACTGCAAAGACAGCAGTTAGCTTTGGAGCACTCTGTTATATTCGCAAAATGAATGCAAACAACCCTCTTGGAGCACATGAGGCTTTGGATGACCAGGAATGTGACTGTCACTCACTGACACTCAGGCTTCAGACTGACTAGCATTTCTGGTGCCTGACAAGATTAATAAAGAATTTCGGAGTGATCTAATTGAGAGGAAGAAATTTAGACAAAGTTGAAATTAGTTTGACATAAGCGAAACATCCAAAGGTGTGATCACTTTCCTAGTTACTTTTAGTGGATAATTGTTTTGCTTTTTTCTACTTTTTTTCTTTTCTTTTGGTTTTTCGAGACAGGGTTTCTCTGTGTAGCCCTGGCTGTCCTGGAACTCACTCTGTAGACCAGGCTGGCCTTGAACTCAGAAATCCGCCTGCCTCTGCCTCCCAAGTGCTGGGATTAAAGGTGCGCGCCACCACCACCCGGCTGGATAATTGTTTTTCTAAAATTTCTTTTTATTATATGTCACAAAATTACTAGACTGCAAATCAGGAAACGGTCTATTAGAAACAAACAACACAGGGCTTTGGAAACAATTTGAGCATTGCCCAGGACAGGTTCTGGCATGTAGAAAGTGTCAATAATAATTTCAAAAATAAGCATATGATTAAACAAGGAGAAGAAGAAATGCCCAAGAAATACATCTTTATGTAGTAAAAATTAGTTTGAGTTTACACATGTCCCTGTCAATCCTATTAAATATTTGACAAAGTGGTGGGTGCATGTCTCTTTCTAAAAGCACTGTGTATATCTGAGCAATGTATAAGCACATGTGGACCAGTTGGAAACAGTCTTGGACTCTTTGGCTAAGGGCTGTGTCCAAATTCCAACTTTAAAGACTGTTTTGGTGGCTGCTCTAGAGCTCCAGACTGAGCACTCAGGGTTTACTCCCTGCCCCTAACCCACCAGGGCTTTTCTGGAACTGTGGTGTCATTCCCCGAGTCAGAAGGAAAGCTGATGGGCACTGGTGTTGTCTTAGAAATGGTAAAGGTCACAGAATTTCTTTTTGTCTTTCCCAAAACCAGGTTGAAATAATGGGCCATCAAAGACAGAGACTTACCCAGGCATAATGGCTATAATCGCAGCACTTAGGAGGCAGAGGCTTGTGGGTATCTATGAGCTGGAGGCCACCTCCCATATCAAAATAAAAGGCAAAGAGAAACAAGCAACAACAGGAGTAAAAGGAAACCACTTGCATCTGTAACCGCATGTTTTATGAGTACGTGCTTATTACTCTCCCCTTGTTGTGACCCATACCTGCAACAAGCATCTTGAGAAGGAAGGCTTCATTGCAGCTTGCAGTTTGACCATCGGTCTGGTGGGGAAGTCATGCATGATGGCTGGAGTGTGCTGCGCCTGCTCACACTGTATTCACAGTCAGGAAGCAGAGCTGATGCTTAGCTTGCTTTGCCTTTCTTATTTAACCCCAGTCCATAAACTGCTGATGCCCACTCCCAGGGGACCTTGCCTCTTCAGCTAAACCTTTCAGGAAATGTCCTCCTACACACTACGAGGTGTGTTTCCTGGTGATTCCAAACCTAGTCAAATTGATTATCAGCATTCATCAGCAAGGCTTTATATCTAAATTTCAAGAGACTTTAAGTTTGTCCCAACATGTTTTAGCATCTGTGTCTTTTTCTCACTCCAGTAGTTTCCTTTCCTCCTTGCTTCCACTGTATTCCATCACAGCTTTGGATGCACAAGAAACTTGTCCAGGAGGTTGAGGATGTGGCTTAGTGGTAAAGCCTCGGCAAGTGTGAAGTCTGAGTTTAATCCTCAGTGACCATGAACTGTGATCCCAGACCGTTTAAAATCTGCCACAGGCATGGAAACAGCTAGAACACAAGGCAGGATGAAAGGAATACTATCTACAGAGTCACAGAATAGAGATCATCATGGACCATGAGGAACACAGAGGATTCCGGCAAAGGGTAGAGGGGACAACACAAACAAAGCCATGTAAGAAAGAATACACTAGGCATATCCACAGAGCAGAGAATAGCTCCGGGATTCTGACCCACAGAAGGAGAAAGAGGTACCAGTGAACATCAGGGCCAGAAAGGGAGACCGGCATAAGAACATAGGAAGTCTTCAAAGACATGTCAAGAGTTGACACTAGGGGCTGGGGAAACCATGAAGAGTGGAGAAAGGGAATGGTATGACCAGCTGCACTTTAGAAATGAATCTTAGACTTCTGTGCATAAGAGAGGGAGGAGAAAGGAGCCAGGGAAACCACTCGGGGTAGATGTCATATTTATGAGTATAAGGAGAAAATAAAAGTGATGGTGATTGACCCAAGATCCAGCTGTTTAGATGGGAAGGAAGAGACAGCTGTGAGAAAGTACTTAAGAGCCATTTCTAAAGGTCAAATTTGCAACTTTCTAGGAAGTCTGACTTTGAGGAGTATGTTTCTGAAGACTAGAAAGATAACTGTAATGCAGTAAGTCTCTTTTATGCCACTGGTTAGTAATGCAGCATGTGTTTGTTCTTGAACTACCCCACTACAACTCAGTGTCTTACAGTAAGAACTAGATTTCTCCATCAGCCACTCATACTTGAGTACTTCTGTAGAAATGGCAAGTCCCCATAGCCTCTGAGCACCCTTTACTGTGAGCCAGGCTGTGAGCAGTGCCCTTTGCTGGCTCACTGGTTCCCACACAGCCCTCCTGCATGTAGCTGTTGCCCCTCTCAGTTTACACACGTGGATACTGCTATAGAGCTGTTGTGTGTGATACTTAATTTCCATTTCCAATGAGACTGGATTAAAAGATACAGAAGGCATTAGTAAGTGCATGCTGGGGCATGCCCTTAAGGGAGTTTCCAGGGAGGTTTAGCTAGACAGAAAAGAGCCACCCCCAAAAAAGTGTGGCATCATTATCACCCTGAGCACCAGCATTTGTATCTCTTTGCTTCAGGACTGTGGATTCACTGTGACCTCTTCCCTTATACCCCTGCCTCCATGCCTTCTCACCACCGGGGACTGTTTTATCTAAACTGTGAGCCAATGTAAACACAGTGTCCCTTAAGATGCTCTCCATCAGGAATGTTTTGTTTTCTCTTCTTGAGATAGGGTTTCACCATATAGACAGGGGTAGTCTGGAACTTTCTGTAGACCAGGTTGACCTTGAACCCACTGAGATCTGCCTGCCTCTGTCTCCCAAGTGCTGGGATTAAAAACATGCATTACCACACTTGGCTTTTTAACACAATATGTAAATCCATTTTATCGAGATGATGAGAAAAGTTGCCAAAAGTTATATAATCTGGTTAACATTACACAGATGTGAATGAAGAGGGGTCTGGCTTTAACCTTGTGCTTCTAGCTATTCAACAACACTTAATTTTTTGGGGGGAGGGATTCATGTATTCTGTTTATTTTTAATGCATGGAGGGTATGTGTACCTGTGGATGTATTTATGTAACCCAGAGGACACTTTTCTGTGTCATTCTCAAGAATGCTGTCCACCTCCTGTGAAGCAAGACTTTTCATCGACCTGGAGCTCACCAATTAGTCTAGACAACAGGCAGCAAACCTAGGGACCCTCATGTCTCTGCCTGGTGTTTTTAATGTGGGCTCTGGAAACGAAATGTAAGTCCTCTGCTTGTGAGCCAAGCACGTCAGTGACTAGACTCTGCTATAGCCTAGGGATTGCATGTGTTGTAAAGTAGAACATGGCCCACACTCCTGAGCACTGTCTGTGAGGAAACACTGCATCTGAAGGTCTGTTATTGTGAGCTGTATTATCCACAGGGAAGGCTCTACTCTAGTGTCCACATCCCGTCTGGTCGATAAGAGTGCATGTTTCATGTACACATTCGAATGCACTTCCACTTCAGATTACATTGCATCTTCACTGACTGAAAGACGGGCAAAGAAGAATTTTGGAGTGAGCTGAGAGACAACTACACCTTCCATCCAAGCGGATCACGCTGACATTGGGTCTAACAACTGTATTTGAAGTAGTGAGCTTTCTTTTCTTTTTCTTTCTTGTTTTTAAATTTTATTTTATTATTTTTATCTTAAGTGAATGGGTGTTTTGCAGCATGCATGTGTATGTGCAGCATGTGTGGGCCTAGTGCTCATGAAGGTCAGAACATGTCATCAGGCTCCTTGGAACTGGAGTTATAGATGACAGTGAGCAGGGGTCAAACTCAAGAGCTCTGGAAGAGCAATCCGTGTTCTAACCTGCTGAGGCCTCGCTCTGGTCCCAAGATTTGTTTCCCCTTGAACTAGGGCTATATCTGTTCATAAATATTTTCTACAATCATGTTCTATACTATATCTTCCAGAAGCAATGATTCTAGCCTGAAACTGACTTCTACCATATTGAATAGCAAGGAGTTTTGAAAATGAACCAGAACTCATTGGCACCAAAGACAAACCGTGAGACATCTTTTCCTAGGTGGATGGCTTTGCTACCCAGAGTGCAGAAGTATTCTCCAAGTTCATATTCATTGCTAAGCCAGAGATTTTGATCTAGAAGGACTGATTCTGCTATAATCTAGATATCTCTTTATCTTTCCTTTAGCAGAAGAAGTTTTGGAACAGTTTTATAATTTGAGGATTTTACAAGGGAATGTGGCCCTTGATATTCATTTAAACACACGAGCAGGAGGCAACCTGCTATCACTTACGTATACATTTGGCTGTTTGAGGCAGAGTCTCCATGTAGCCCATGCTGGTTCCCGACTTGCTGAGTATCCAAGGCTAGTCATGAATCCTAATCTTCCTGCCTCTACCTCCTAAGTGCTGGGATTGTGCCACCATGCCCATCTTAAAACTGCTACTTTTAAATATAAACATTGTTCCCAGCCTTTATGGCTTCCTGTTAACACTACATAGTCTCACTAATTGAATTCTGACTTTAGATAGGGCTGCACAGTGACTCACTAGGACATATACCAGCATACAAATGGTCCAAGTATGTGCATTCCGAATGTCTTCCTTACCAGGTTTGAGAGAGTCTTCACAGGGGCTCGGTCTTTGGTGAGCTGAGGCAGCGTGACACACCCGAGAAGACGACACATCGGGTCCAGCAACTGAGAGCTGCCAAAAGATCCAGTGAGAGAAAGACCATTTTTATCCTCTGATGAAGTAGTCTTGAGGACATGCTTTCCATTAAGCTGAGGGACCTTTGTATTGATGATACTTGTATGCTCCCTAGGTCTTGTATAGAACTGAGTGACAGCTCTTCCCTGGGGCAATTAGGAGCCAAGGTGTAGTACATTCTGCCCCATGCATTTGCTTCTTCCTCTGCACCCAACCCCTTCTTCAATCACTTACAATGCAGGACAGAAAGAAAAAAAAAAACACAGGCATGTGCTAATTCTCATCTTTACTTAATTTTTATCCTTAGGAGAGAAACAAAGAAAACCTATAGGAAGGTATTAATCTGCCATTTCTAAGCACATCGTCCAAAGGACTTTTTTTTTTTAATCTTACATATGCTCAGCAGAGTTACTGGCAAAAACTGTACATTTTCTTCATTTCACCCTTTCAACATCAAATAGGAGGCAGCAAAAATTGGATCAGACTTCAAAGCCTGCTGTGGGCTCCAAGTCACAGAGAGACGCCTCCATTTCACATGCTGAATTCAAGCAGGGTATCAAAGTGCTACCAGAGAACCTCGGGTCCTCTCTCAGAGAGAGGCTCCGGCAGCTGCAGAGTGGAGCACTCAGCACATCACCTCGGGGAGCAGCCAGCGTTTATTCTCAGCAGCAAATTGCCAGGCTTTTGATTCTTTCTTCACTGTCCCTCCCTGTCCCTCCGCTGAACCAGGGTTCTTTAGCTGGGCTTTTGTCTCAAAAACTTCAAAATATCACTACAAGTTTCATGTTTGGATGGCTGGGCCAGGCAGTCACAGACAGGCTCCACGCCCATGGACTTGGACCGCAGAATGCCCATGGACTGAGATGAGACTGAAGGAAGGGTACCAGGTTACCTCAGCAACAGCATGTCCAGCTGCCTTATCTGCATGTCCTAAGGTGGCATCACAGCTTGTTGGGGAGCTGTGGGCTTGTAGATGCCTAAAAGGACAATAAAAATTATAATTCTTAAAAAGCCTGAAAATTACAATAAAGACTAACAGAATTGCTGTTGAAAACAAAACAAAACAAAGCCCACATTGTTTTCCTCTCCAAAAAGGTATACAAACTCATCCCTCTGCTTCTGTTGCATCCTGTGCCAGTCACTGATTAAAAAGATTTTCTGTTCATGTAGAGAAATGTGTCTTTCTGGTATTGTCTCTGTGTATTCCATCAGATCCACGCCTATGTGAGGTCTTAAGACCTGGAAACTGCCCCCTTTAAAGTTGTGTGGGTTCCTGAGCAATGTCAGGTTTCCAGAGTCTTTACCAAGTAGGTGTAAGGCTGTTCTTTCTGCTCTGTGCATTTACCACATTCCATATTCAAGAGGTGCAAGTGTAGTCTGTGGTCAGTTAGCTAGGGAAGGTCAGGAGGAACATGGCAGAAGTGTCTCCTTGCTACAGGGTGTTTCATCAGTCACAGTGCACACTGGACCTCTAAAGCAGAGGTAGGACTGATTACAATGTCTGAAGTTACCAGACCAAGAACTTATTAACATCTAGTGAACTATTAAATTTTCATAGGAAATAAGTTTGGCGCAACTGAATGTAGCCAAAAGCACAAAGCAAGGTCAAGAAAGCATCTTTCAGCTAGGCTTGGAGGCACATGAATGTAAGCCCGCATTCAGGAGGAAGAGGCAAGAGGGATACTCCAAATTGGAAGCCAGCCAGGTCTCTCCTGTCCTTCTCCCTATCCCTGGCCCCCCTCCCTCTCCTTCTCCCCCATCTCTCTCATGAACATGACTGTGTATACAGAGAGAGAAAGAGAGAGAGAGAGAGAGAGAGAGAGAGAGAGAGAGAGAGAAGTGTGATTCTGGGTACATTTCAGGTATCCTGGGTCAGAGCTTTCCTCAGCTATAAAGTGAGGGAAGTGAGGTAAACTGGTTTAAGGTTACCCCCAGTGCTACATTTTAAGTCTTATTCATTATTTAAACTGATTAATTCATTTCTATGTGTGGACCATTCATGAATTCATCTCAGAGGAGGTTATATGTAGAATACCCACTTAAAAGACATCAGGCCTGGGGAGAAGGGACTGCCGTTACTTAGTGTCAGGTGTCTCCCAGATGGAAGGTTCAGAGTGGCTGCCTTCCACCCACCTCAGTGCCTGGGACACAGTAAGTATTTAGTAATTGTTAGACACGCTGGTAAATCCTGAAATGCTAGGTCACACAGGTCAGAAAAAAATACAGTACATTTAAATTAGCTAACATTTCTATTTGAATTCTGACTTTAAAAACGGTCTTGAATATCTAGCAAGATCTTCACAACCATCTAAGCTAAGCATTTCCACTGTCCCTCGCCTAGAGCGCTGAGGAGGAAGCAAGGTTCAGAAAGGGAAGAGTTTTCCCCAGGTACCCTGGTGAACACCCAGCACTTCCTAGACACTGTTGACCCATGTTCTTCTGGCTCCAAGTCCTCTGCTCTCCCTCTGGGCCCAGTGTGCCCTCAATGCCCTCTGGGTACGAGACTCACTCTTGTCTAGTCCAAGTTAATCCCGATGACTGTGGGACTCTTAAGGTTGTGCACCCTCTACTTTCCTTCAGAGTGCTAGTGAGCTTCAGGAAAAATCTAGGAAGAGGGTGTGGTGCTAGGATTCCTGTCCTGCCTCTGCTTCTTAACCTTTCCTGCCCCAGCATGGAAATCTGTCCTGAGCACTTGTCTAACTCACAGGGCCTTTCAGAAGTCAGAGACCAGTGCAGTTGTCTCCTGAGTCTCCCTGGGGCCAGCTGATCAATGGACTTTCCCACCTTCAAGCCTCTGGGACTCTAAGGCACTTAATGCAATGTTTACACTGTTTCTTGACTTGAAAAAGGAGGAGCATGGGAGGAAGTACTGTTCCCAGAGAGGTACACTGGAAAGTACTTGACTGAACAACACTAAGCGGTTTTCTTCCCAGAGATTCTAATATGCACAATGAAATTCTGAGAGGGAGAAAGCAAGATTACTCTTCCCAAGACATTATCAACTGACCCAGCTCCCACGCATTGTGTAATAACATTGTAACAATAAGAGAAACCCTATTAAGAAAAAATTCCAAAGTGTATCTCTTTTTTTTCACATCTGCATTTGGTGTGTGTGTGTGTGTGTGTGTGTGTGTGTGTGTGTGATGTGCACTTGTGTGCATGTGTGTATGACTTTGGGTGTCTCTTTTAATTGCATTTCACCTTATATATCGAGGCAGAGTCTCTCGCTAAACCTAGAGGCTGTCAATTTTGGCTAGCCTAGCTAGCCAGCCTGCCTGGGTATTCATTCCCTGTCTCTTCTTGCTGAATGCTATACAAGTGGCCACCACATATGTGCATTTATGTGTGGAAATCCAAACGCCATTCCTCATGCTTGCATAGGAAGGACTTTATCCACTGAGCCATCTTCTTGGTCACCACATTGCTCTTTCAAAGAATGGGGCGAGTCAGAGCTGTGTAATAGCTTGGTCAGTAAAGTGTTTGCTCTTCAAGCAGCAAGTCCTGAGCTTGATCCAGGCGTGGATGTAAGTGTGCACCTGTAATCTCTGTGCTAGAAAGGAAGAGGCTGGAGGATTCCATGGAGCTTGCTGGCCAGGTGAATTGGTAGTGAGCTCCCAGTTCAATGAGAGACCCTGCCTCAAATCATAAGGTGGATGGGGCTGGAGACATGGCTCAGTCGTTCAGAGCACTTGCTTCCTTTCCAGAGGACCTGGTTTCAATTCCCAGCACCCACATGGTGGCTCACAAATATCTCTAACTCTAATTCCAAGGGGTTTGACATCCTCTTCTGGCCTCTGTGGTATACACCCATATTTACAAGTAAAGACACGTTGGATAAATAAATAAACCTTAATTTTAAAAAGATGGAGAAGAGGTTAAAGGAGAGGTTAATTTCTGGCCTCGCTACACATGTACACACATGCACACATACATGAACAAGTACACAGCACACAAGTTAACTAAGAAATACAAATGAACGGGGCAAGCTAATTTCCTTTGGAAATTTCAATGTTTTAACTCCATCATGGAAATTTTCAGTAGCTTGTTTCTTTCATTTTTTTATGTTTGTATTTGCGTGCATATATGTTTGTGAACACGTGTCTTACCTCTCTATTGCTACGATAAAACACACTAGGTTGGATCCTAGCTTGGACAAACTTGTACAAAGGACATTCTCGGAAAAACTAGAAAAGGTTGACTATTAGATAACTAACAAGAGGTTATTCATTTTAAAAGTATGATTTTTGTTTCTCTTGCCTGCTTACATAAGTAGTATCTGTGTACATGTGTTTACATGTTCACATGGGTGTGGGCGAGTGTGTGTGGAGGCCAGTGGTTCTCAGTTGGTGTCTTTCTTGACCATTCTTCACTGTATTTACTGAACCAAGGTCTCTCACTCGCTCTCACCTGGAGCAGGCTAATTTGGTGAGCCCAGCCAGTCTATTTGCTCCATGGCTCCCCGTCTCTCTGCCTTGTGAATACTATCTAGGGTTACAGAAGAACCATCAGGCCTGCCTACCTGAGGTTTCTGTGAGTTCTAGAGGTTGGAATCCTTCATCACATTTGCACAGGAAGCCTTTATCCATCCACTTAGTCACCTCCCCAGCTATGTGACACTGCCTTGTGGGTCTGCACCCAAACAAAACACACACACACACACACACACACACACACACACACACACACACACACACAGTCTTCAATCTCTGTGAGCATTCACAAATCAATGAAGCTCTATCCTTCAGCACACATATTCAGGGCACTTGGACCTCTCAGAAACATGACTAGCATCTCCTGCAGATGCCTCCAGGCTCAGCTGCTTGATCCAGCTGGTGCATTTAAGTGTGTGAGCTAGCGGAGATAGAAAACCCCAGCTACCACTGAAAACCCTTCTTCTGGGAATCTGCCTTGGAATAGGGAAAAAAACCCAAAGAGGCTGGTGTCTAGTTCTCTCCTGTGACAGATGAGAGGCAGTATAGAGGTTGGCTCTCTGCACACTCTCCTCAGAGTGCCCAGCATCTTTCTTCTGCAGCGAAGATCGGGAAGCCAGCTGGCTCTGTCATGCTGTACTGGTAACACAGTGGGAAGTCACTGTGGGCTAGGGTCTCAGCCTCAGCTTCACAGGCTCTGAAATTCAATTTGTCAGTTCACTGAGGAATAATGGAAAGGAGGTAATGGAGTTACCCTAACCAAACCGTATGGAGTCATATTTGAAAAGCAGGACGCTGGGGGTGTGATTTTTGCAAGGGGCAGCAAATTGGACCCTATCTGTTCCCTCACTAGCTGCTCACTATAGTCTGGAGACTAAAGGTTAGAAAGGCAATCTTGGAGGGTGAGGCTCATCTTTACCCTGTCTGACAGCTGGCCTTTTCTGTAACAGGGTTAGCCTCTGTCACTGTCTTTTTTTAAGATGAGAGTGAAGACACAGCAGCTGCCTGTTGAGTCTCTGTTTCCTAAGCTTCATTTGAACTGCCTCTTTGTGTACTTTTTATTCATTTTGATTAAAGCTACGTCTTATCTTGAATCAATTACAGCTTATTGGTGCCTAAACAAATTAAGACACGGATTAGTGCTACACACTTGAAAGCATATGCTAGTTCCAAAGCAGGGCAGGTTGTAGCCACTTCCTCACAGGTTGGGTTCCGTTAGCTTCTTAGTGACTCGTAGGGAATCATTTCTGTCAAGCTTGTTTCTCACATAGGAGCCCTGGAAAGAAGGTTAATCAGCAAAGCTAGCAAACTGCCCCTGTTCCTTTGATGACATGGGACAAAACAGTCTTATAGTAAGAGATCCATTTCCTGCAGCCAAGGAGCAGCTATTGAACAACCCTGCAGACAAGATGTTCCAAGCAGAATGTGATAGTCCTCTGTGACCCTCGAGGAACACAGGTTTCAGATACACACACACACACACACACACACACACACACACCATACAGCTTTCTTTATGGAGGGTATACCAGAAGAAGGAAGAAATT